GTTCCCAGTCCCGCCCCCCCCCCTCTCTCTCTCTGTCCCTTCCCCCTTTGCTTCCTTCGGGGCCGCATATTTACATATATATGTGCACATGCGTGTGTCGCGACTGTATGTTGCCCAAAAAATGTCATGCAATTGAATGCAGCGTGACAGACGTGCTGGAGCATGCACGCTCCAAGTGGGGGAACGCATGCACGCGCGGGGTTGGGAGGGAGGAGGGTATCTATTTGGTGCACAATAGGGTGCGAGGCACAAGGGGAGAAAGGAGGAGGAGGGTGTCTGTTGGGCGGCATTCGCGGGTAAGGGAGGGGGGGGGGGAGGGAAGAGAGGAAAGGGGCACGAGTGGGACCGCAAGGGAAGTGCCGAGGGCACAGCGCGGCCGACACGCGCCGCCTAGCAGCGGACCTGGAAGTTGCCGGACTTGGTGATGTACAGCTGCCCCTTGTACGGCTTGTACTGGACCGCATGCACGTCCAGGCGATCGCCCTTGAGGCCACTGGCGGCAAAGCGATTGATGGTGAAGTCCACGGAGATGACCGGACGGGGGAGCTCCACATCGCGAGCGCTGGATGGGTGCCACGCAAAAAAAGGGGACAGGGGAGGGCGGATGCTGTTAAAAAAAATGGAAAACAGGAAGGTGACAGGATGGGGCAGATGCGGTGGCATTGTTGGCGGGCCATCCGCCAGGAAGAGGCCCACACACGCACCCAGCATCCAGTCGCAGGGGGACCTGGCAAGTGATGGCACGATTGGTGGGCACGCGGCCGATGTTCCACAGCAGCACCCGAGTCGACGGGTCGAAGCGGATGGTCCCGAAGCCCGCGGAAATGTTGGTGCCCGCGGAAACCTTCTCCGGCAGGGGCACCCGGATGAGGACATCCTCCGGCTGGACATCGGCCCGATTGCGCGGAACCATGACGCTGATGTTCAATTGGCCTGTGTTCATGCATGTATGTCAGTCGGGGCTGGGCTGTTGGTTTGTTTGGGACTTCTTTCTTTTTCTTGCCCTTGAACACAAGAGAGTAGGCACGCGCGCGGGGAGGAAGGGATGCATGTCGGCGAGGGGGGGGGGGGGGGGGGGGGGGACAAAAGGGACCATCGCTCTTGGAATAGGTGCACTGGCCGCGCACGTTGATCGGCAGCATGTACGAGGAGTCCGACGGGACACGGTACGACAGCAGGTCAAAGGCGCCGTCCGGGGGAACGAAGGAAATGACACGCTCACGCTCGTAGCGGGCAATCCTGCGGGTCATCCGGAACAAGGAGACAGTGAAAGCGAGCAGGGCCAAAGGGGTGAGTGGCGATTGGTTGGCTGGATGGCGGCCATGCGACGCCGGCGCAAGTTGAAGCGCACCGAACACAGGGGTGAAGGCTCACGTCCTCCAGGATGTTGGGGTTGGTGAAGCGCAGCGTCAAGTCCGGCATGCCTATTTGAGGAGGGGCGTTAGTTTGGTGGGGCTTCGGGCAATTGATGCCCGATGGGCCAGCCCATGCACATTCGAGTCGGGGAGTCGCGCACCAGACAGACGGCTGAGGGCCTTGATGACACCGACAATGTCGCAGGAAACAATGGCCCCATTCCTTTTGCGAGTGTCGGATGGGTATGGAAAAGGGAAGAGGGGGAGGGACACACACACAGAGAGAGAGAGGGAAAGGGAGTCAGCACGGGGGGACAGGCAGCTGGCAGAAGGGCGAGGGAAAGCGCACGGGTCCACGATGGCATCGATCGTTTCGATGATGTCGAAGAAAATCTCGTTATTAGCATGACGGATGCCCTGCTTGCGCCAGGGGACCGCCGAGATGTTCTGTGTGGGAACCTTGCTGTGGGAGTGATTGAAGAAGGCATGGGGTCAGCCGCGTGGTCGAGCAACGGACAGGGAGAAGGGGCGAGGCGAAGGAGGGGAGGGAAAGAGGGAATGAACATAGGGCAAGAGGGACACATACCTGGAGGGACCAGCAACCGAGCGGACAACCTTGTTGAGAACGGACGGGGGGTTGACAGTCTCCTTGAGCAGGGACGGCTCGGTGGTCAGGGGCAGACCATTATCCATGACCTCCTCGAGGATCTGGTGGGCCGCATGGTTTGGAGGCAGACGTTAGACGTGATGGGCTTTTTTTTTTTGCTGCGCGAGGGAGAGCGCGGGAGAGAAGGAGAGAGGGGGAGAGCGAGGGCAAGAGAGAGAGAGAGAGAGATGGAGAGAGGGGGGGGGGGGAAGGAAAACACCCAGGATGATCAGGCAGACCGGGGGAGGGGGAAGAGGAGACGCGAACCTCATGGACGACGATGAAGTTCTCCCGGAGAACCTTCTCATCAATGCGCACACCCTCGAAGTAATCCTTGAAAATGTCCACCACACGGTGGAGGAACTCGGTGACAAACAATGGAGCCACTATGGCATGGGAAGGTTAGAACATTGTGTCAGACGTTGAATTACACCCCCCCCCCCCCCTCGCCCCTCTGCGGCCTGCATGGGGGGGGGGGGGAGGGAGAGAGAGAGAGAGAGATGGCGAAGAGGAGAAGCAGGGCAAGCAAACACATGCGCCGGGAGGAGGAGAGCGCACCCTCCTCCAAGACGATGGCCATGTAGATGAGGCCGTCGCGCTGGACGTGAATGAGGTAGCCCTCACTGGAGGGAAGGCCACAGGAGGCCGCCGAGAGGAGGGTCACCGGCGGCAGCTCGGAAATATCCGACAGAGACTGCACCTGCTCCAGGAAGAAGGAGATGATCGGTCCGCGCTGGAGGGTTTTCCGGTAGTGCTTCTCAGCGAGGAATACCCTGCGTACGAGGGGTCAGTCGAGGGTCAGCATCGCGCCAAAGCCCGAGAGGCAGTGGGAGGGCCACGGGAAGGGGGAAGGAGGACACATACCCGCTCGGGGTGACAATGAAGAGACTATTGATCATGGCACAGAGGCTCTCGGTTGGGGGGGGGGGGGGGGGGGAGGGAAGGGAGGCGGGCGGACGGGCGGGAGAGTAGGGACTGCCCGAAGTTCGAGAGGGGGGTGGGAAAAACAGGCAAGAGGGGGAGCGAGAGAGGGGAGGAGAACAGGTGGTTGGGGAGGGGGGGAGGAGGGCAGGAAATTGCTCGAGGAGGGGGCTACTTTTACCCTTCAGAGCAAGGGGACGGCGGCTTCGGACTGGCGGCGGATAAAGCCCCTCCCCGAGATCGCCCGGCGTCCTGGGGATTTCCCCCAGGATAGACGAGCGGACCAAGGCGATTTTGACCAGCGACGTGGGGGGGGGGGGGGGGGGGGGGGGGTGGATCTCTCCCTCCAAGGAAGGGGCAACTCGCCTGCTCGGCACTTCGGACGGGGGAGAGGTCCCTGGTGCCGTCTTCGCCGGGCGGGCGGCCGCCGCGGAAGGCCCGCTGGCAGTTGGCCGGCTCGGGTCGCCGGGGGGACCCTGTATCACTCCCCCACGCCCCCGGCCTCCCCCGGCCATAAAATAACAACGCCACACCGAAAGGTACAGACACAAGAGCCACAAGGCATTCTCCCCTTCGGCCGGCCTGACCAAGGACCGGACCCCGGTGGCGACCGCCTCTGGCCGCGGAAAATGGGCGAGGGAGATCGCAATCCCGCCACCCCTGCTGCTCCCGGTGTTTGCGGGCGCGGCCTGCGTCCAAGCAGGCGTCTGTATCATCGCAGCAAGGAAGCCGAGGGACGGGGGGGGGGGGGGGGGGGGGCGCGCGCAGAAGAGGAGCCCCAACCGCACGCGAAAAACGCCGGCTGGAAGGGAAACAAAGGGGAAACAAATGGGCGTGTTCTATTTGGGTCATGTGTGTCGTCGAGGTCACGTGCGTATGCGTGTTTGTCCTACCGCCCCCCGCCGGGGGCGCTGCTCCCGGACGCGCTGTTGGACGGGCCCTTCTTCCAGTTCAGCAGCGAAGAGGACATGCTGGAGGAGGAGGAGCTGGAGAATCCGGAGAAAGTGCTCGAGGGGGCCTGGATCTTGTGAACCTCCTCGAGTACCTGGTTGACGCGGTGCCGGGCCTGGCGCGATAGTTGCCGGCCCAAGCCGCTGGCCATCAGGCCGGCCAGCTGCTTCGGAGTGTAAACCTGTACAGGTGCATCGCCGCGACATGCGCAAAAAAATAAATAATAACACAGGCCAACATTGTAAGCGACAGGCAACAAGCGGCAACAGGAAGGCGCGAAGGAGAGGGACGCAAGGAAAGATGGCACACGCACACGACACTCGCGGAACCATCTCTCGGCATCGTCATCCGAGAGATAGAACGCCTTGATGAAGTCCTCGACGTAACGAATGTTGGTCATTCTGGGAGGGAAGGGATGGGGGGGGGGGGGGAGGTAAATGCAAGTGCCAAGCGAGTGAGTAACCGGGCGAAAGGAAGGGGGGCCACAATCCAAGCAGGATGGAGTCCGAAGCGCGGACAAGCAGGGAGGGCGTACCGTAGGCCGGTGATCTGCTCCAACGATGTGGCCAAAGTACGGGCATCCAGCTGCATGAGCGCGCGGCCCTGGTTGTTGCAGCGCTTAACACGTGAATATGCCTCAACCAGGGCCTCGCCGATGACCTGCAGCAAACGGCTGAGGACCAGCTCCACGAGCGGTGACCGGGGAAGTGCCGCCAGCGTGAAGCGCTTGTCCCCGGCGACTGCCGCCTCGGCCAGTGCCCCGCTCACACCGAACAGGTACCGGAGGGAAGAGGCGTCGGTTGTGAGCCGGCCAATTAGAGCGCTGACGTCGTTGGCGACCGCCGACACGTAGGGACTCGAGTCGAAGCCAACCTCGCGCAGCTCCCAGGGGGTGGCCACGATTTGGTTGATGATCGGGGTGACCTGTGTGTGTGTGTGTGTGTGTGTGTGTGTGTGTGTGTGTGTGAGCATCGGGATGCCCCCGAAAGGCAGGGACGATGTGTGGGCAGGGAGAAAGGGCATATTCATGCAGGGGGCTGGAGAAGGCACGAATGGCACGAATGGCACGTACCGGCAGGAGGCGCATGGCAAAACAGCGGAACATAAATAGACGCAGCTCCGGCAGGGCCTCAACCACGCGGTCGAAGAACCCATCCACCAGGGGAGCGCCTCTCCCATCGGAAAGAAGTTTCTGTGGCAGAGAATTAGAGGACAGGGTGGGGGGGGAGGGAGGCGGACGGTGGACAAGCGGGCATGCGAGCGACAGAAACAAGGGGGACGCACGTCAAGGTGCGACCGAGTGGCAATGAGCACGGTGTACAGGAACATGAGGGATTCCGAGCCGACAATCCGGAAAGGCAAGCCTGGCAAGAACGCGGGCAACATGCGGTGAGATGAAGGGCGAAGAGATGGGGGGGAAAGAGAAAGAGAGAGAGAGAGAGAGAGAGAGAGAGCTTCCATGATGGGTGGAAACTTACCATAGAGGTTGGACATGGTCCGCATGGGAACCAGGCTGGAGACCGCCGGGACCAGGTACTTCCGGTCGAGGATCAGGCCGAGCTCGTGTGCCGAGTCGTTGTGCTGCGGCTTGCGCGCATGCCCGGAGGCTGGCACCGCGGGCAGGGGGGGCGGCGCTGGCGGGGCCATGCCCGGGGTGACAGGAGGGGCCCCGGACTCCGGCGCCTCGCCATTGACCGGCGTGGTGGGCGAAGCCACCGACCCGGCCGCCTCGGTGATCGGGAGGTCGGTGCCTGAGGGGGTGCGTGACACGGCGGAGCCGGAATTCCCCGGGGCCCCGCCAGGCGTCAGAGTTGGTGACCCGGCCACCGACGAAGTCGCCGACGAGGAAGCCGACGACACACCAGCCGACGAAGAGACCATGGCTGCTTGCGAATTCCCGGTGCCCGAGGCCGGGACCGGGGTTTGGCTGCCAGAGCCAACCGAGAACCGGGATGCCGTACTCCGGGCCAGAGACACCAGATTGCCGGCAGACCGATTGGGAGTCATACTGCCAGCCGGCGACCCGGGAACCGAGGAGGAACTGGAGCTGGAGGACACGGCGGCCGACGACGCCTGCGTGCCGGGGTTATTGTCGGAGAAGGAGAAGGTGAAGGTGGCGGTGGCCGGTAGAGTCATGCCCAAGACCGACACCGTGGCCGGGGTGTGACTGGCGGTATCCTGGTCGAACTTCCGCTGCAGCTGCGAGATGATGGTGCGCAAATTGGAGGGGAGGTCTGTTGACGGCCATGCAGAAGAGGAGCCGGGGCAGGATGGGGCAGGATGGGGTCAGTGAAAGTCTGCAGAAGCTTAAGCGGCCCATGGAGTGGGGAGGAAGAGACAAAGAGAGAGAGAGAGAGAGAGAGGAGGGGGGAGGGAGGGGAAAAGGGAAAGGGATGCTTTCGACATACCGGCCAAGATCTCGCTCTGCGATAGCCCGCAGTCCGAGGTAAAGAACTGGAAGACCGAGTAGATGTAATACTCCACCAGCTGAACAAGGCCGATGAAAACATGCTGCGAGATGGGGGACAGAATCTCCGCCAGAGCGATGTACCGACCAACCAGACGAGCCAGGTTGATGGTGGTCGTGGCCAGCATCGGGCCGACGGCTGGGCTGACATCCGGCATGAGCCCCTCCGGTGAGGCATCCGCCTGGCGTTGGGCCACGCGCTTTGCTGGGGTGACCGGCGGGCTATCCGGGGGGCCGTCCTCATCCTCGCTCTCGGAGCTGGACAGGGTGAAAACGCCGCTGGCATCGACGCTCTTGGGAGAGAGGACCTCCGTGTCAGAGTCCGCGCGATCAGACTCATCGCCATCGGCGAACTATGTCCAGAGTACAGGGGGGAGGGGGGGGGGAGCGAGTGAAGGGTTAGGAGGGGGTACAAGGCAGCCAGGAAAGTGAAAAGGGGCAGGGGGGGGGGGGGGGGACGCACAATTGTCCGCTGCTTGGAAAGCGGGGCCTCCTTGGACACCGTCTTCTTGGAGGTGAGAACATGGTCTACGGACTTGGAGAACGAGAAGGACCCCTCGCGGAAGGCCGAGAAGGCATCCAGGAAGAGTTGCCCATGGCCAATGCTCTCGCGGCCGAGAACATTGGAGGCATTCCCCTTGGAGGAGGTGGCCATCGACACGTTGGCTGAGAAATCGAACTCCTTCATGTCTGCGAGGCACGGAGGTCAGAGGGGGAAGGGGGGGGGGGGGCTGCTGCCTCGACAAGATCATCGTCGAAAAGGAGGCGAACATACCACGGATGGAGAAGGAGGCCCGCACAGGGCAAGGGAACCATGCCTCATTCTCGAGCATAGCCTTGAGATCCTGTGGGAAGCCATGGTAGAACACGGAAGGAAAGAAGTGAGGCGGGAGAGAGAGAGAGAGAGACGAAAAGATAGGATGAGGGTATAAGTCCGTCAGGAATCTGGAGGAGGCAAACGGCACCATGAGGATGGGCGGGGACAATATTGAAGGCAGCAGAGAGAGGGAGAGGGAGAGGAAAAGGGAGAGGGAGAAACGAACCTCCATGCGCGACTGGTGGGAGCTGGCGAAGTAGGATGTACTCAGCCGGTAGACGAAGGACCGCAGCAGATCCGACTGAGTGGCGGCAAAGCTGTTGCCCAGGTTGACAAACTGAGCAGTGGGCATTCGGGTTAGCATGTCAATCGAGAGGGGAAAAGTGACAGACCGACGAGGGGGGAGAAAAAAAGCCAGAGAAGAGGGAGAAAGGGGGGGGGGGGAGGGGGGGGAGGAAGCCCGAACGGACCTTGTTCAGGCCGTTGAGAATATCCAGGAAATTCTCCAAGCGCGTGGAGTGAGTGAATTTGCGCGACTCGCAGCACTGAATAATTTTGCGCTGCATCTCGTCCCACAGGACCCGACGGAGCTGGCTCAGCTGGAACTCCACAGACGCAAAGAGATCCACCAAGTCCCTGTGGCGAAGAGGGACACACAATGTAAGCGGGGGAAAGTGAGTCGCAGTGGTCGCCTGTGGCGTTGACATGGCAAGTGACAAAAGGGGTGGCGACGAAGAGGGGGGAAGGCAGGGGGAAGAAGAAACGGACGGCTCAGTCTGGCGGTTGTTCGAGTGCCAAGTGATGATCGAGTGGAGCTGGATCATGATGTTGAACAGGCCATCCATGACAGCAGTGAGGCAATTGAGGAAGTCCGTGTCATCCTTCAGCATGGCACACAGGTCGGTGAAGGTGGTGCTACGGTTCGGGGGAAGGAGGGGGGCGGCGGCGGAAGAGGAGAAAGACAGAGGGGGACAGGAGCAGAAGCAGGAGGTTGAATAGACTGTCAGAGAGGGGATTGTGATGTGCTCCTCGAGGGAAGGAAAAGAAGAGGGAAAGAGCACCTGCTGAGAGCAGGGCAGGCCAGGGCAGATCAGAGCAGAGCAGAGCAGAGAGAGAGAGAGGGGGGGGAGAGAGAGAGAGAGAGAGAGAGAGAGAGAGAGATGGACGAACCACTGGAGCCGGGCCACATTGGCAGCCGGGTTCTTCTGGATGGCCACACGAGTGGCATGCTCACGAGCGATCTCCGACGAAATGTGCCCCACTTGGTAGGCAAGGTGGCTCTCAAAGTTGCTGGCGATTTGGTCCGACTTGCCGACCAAGTGGTAGCTCACCACCACGCTCTGGTACACCTCCTCCGAGAAGTCCTGGATCACCTCGACCAGGGCCGCACGTAGGCGCTCCTCGATGACGTCCAGCTGGTCATTCAGGCGGATGGCAAAATGCTCCACACAGTTGAGCGGATAATGCTCCTCGCTGGATGCCGTCGAAACGGGCAGGCTATGCTGAGAGCTCGGCGTGCCGAGCTGGCTACCGGTCATGGCAGACAGGGCCCCGCCCGTGGGCGGGCCTTCATCCAGCCCAGGCGACATCAGGTTGTACTGGGACACCAGGTCCGCCTGGATGGCATGGACCATGCGAATGGCCACCGGGAAGTTCTTTGTCTCGATGTAGATGTCCACCTGCTTGGCATTGCTGAAGAGCCGCTTGATGGCCGTGATCTCGTCGATCAGGCGCTTGAGATTGGTGCAGCGCAAATCCTTGGACACGATCTGGAAACTGCCCGTGGTCAGGTGGCTCTTGGCCGTGCGGAGTCGACGCCGGGCCGATTCCAGCAGCAACTCCGTCTCGTGAAGCTCGGTGCTGAACTTGTGCACCTTGTCCATGCCCTCGACTGGTGTGGGTGGAGGGGAGGGGGGGGGGGGCGAGGGTGAGAGGGAGACAGTTTAGGAACGAAGAAAAGGGGAGATCAGGAAGAGGGGCCAGGGAGGAATGGCCAGACAGGGCGGAGGTGGGGAACAGGAGGGGGGGGGGGCGGGCGAAAGGGCGATCGCAGCACGAACCAAAGGACTCGTAGTTGTTCATAATCACATCCGACAAGCGGGAATTCATGATGTCCAACGAACGCTCATAATTGTTGACGATCTTTTCGATGGCCACATCATCGGCGCGAGTGGGCAGGGACTGGAAGGACCAAAGGAGTGTCATAAGGGGGGGGGGGCACTTTTGTGAGTGACGAAGGCGAGACCCAGACCGAGGGGGGAACATTCGAACACGCACCTCCAAGGCCAGGAGGGTGGGATCGAGGCCGGTCTTGAAGAAGTCCTGCGGCAGCTCGGCCAAAAGCTGCTCGTCGTCGATTTCGCTCTGAGTGGGCTTGAAGCTCTCCTGTATGATGTGAGGCGGAGCGAGGCGAACGCCCGAGGGGGGAGGTCAGACGGAGGCCAGGTCAGAGGGCAATCCATGCTTGCTCGTGACAAGGGCGGACAGGGCACATACCCGGGTCAAGCGTAGGCTATCCGGGGTATCGGATTGCCACTGCTTGGACGTGGCTTCCTGCGCGCTCGACGCGCTGGAAGAGCCGAGGATGCCGCGAACGGCGTCCCCAAGAATGTTCATGGTCTCACCCGCAGGAGGGAGGAGGCACGGTGAATCGGGTCCCCGGGCACGGCGCGAGGTCGGGCGAGGGGCAAGAAAGAGCAAGGGGGGGGGGGGGGGGGGAAGGGGGGGAACGGGAAAGAAGGGAGGGGAAGGGCGAGGGAGGGGGAGGGGCCATTGTCCGAGGTGCCTGTCGAGACCCCTGTGTGGCCGTCTGCCGGCACATGAAAGGCATGGGTGAAGCCCACCTGCCAGGATGGTGCCCCAGCGGCATCGACACCAAATGGGGGGGGGGCGGGGACTATGCGGCAGGAATTAGACCGCGGACCCTGGAGTGTTTCCTGCCTCACCCCGCTGTGTGGGGAGGGGCGCAGGGGGCGGGGGGCGAGCGGGAGCCGGACGGCGGCCCCGGGGGACCGGACCAACAAGGGCAGCCAACTGACCCTAATCATGGGCCATTCCCTCGTCTGTGTTGGGGCCCAGCAAAAGGGCGCCCTGGCCGCGGGAGACCGACACTCGCGCGGACGCCAGCCTCAAATTCCGCCATAACCAAGGCCCGCCGGGGGAGCAAGTGGAGGGGGACTCTGGGACCCGGACGGGACAGGCCTGGCCCGCCCTAGTTCCACCCCCCCCCCCCCCCCCGCCCCGCCCCGCCCCCAGGAGCGAGGTCAAGGGACACGCGCGCGGAGCGGAAATGATTGCGATCAGCCAACCGCCAGCCGCCCGGCGCGGGAGCATCTCACACACATTCGCTGGGAGGTGCTCCCACGCCTACAAACAGGTGCCCGACTTGGCGGCCTGCCCCCTTGCCGGCGCCCGCCCGCCCCCCCGCCCGCCCACCAAGAAGCCAAGGTTCCCACATACACGCCCCCCCAGACGCGCGCATATCGCCGCCGGGCCGAGGAAAGAAGATCGCAGTGTATTGGCATGTAAGTGCCAACGCAGCGCCGAGCGGCGCGCCGACTTGAATGAAACAAGGACAAATGGCAACCGAAGCATACGGAGGCGGACAAGGACTGGAGAGAGAGAGAGAGAGAGAGAAAGAGGGGCGGGAACCCGGAGAGGAGAGTCGGGAGAGGGGCGCACAGCAGCGCAACCACGCACAGCAGGGCAATCCCCTGGCCCCACCCGTCTTCCCCCCTGCTCGCCCTCGGCGGCATGTTTCTCTTTCAGAAGAAGTCATTGAAACTGAGCGAGAGGCCGATCGAGTCGCGATCGCTGCCGGCTGTTGAGGAAAACGAGGCGTCAGCCGTCCCGGACCCCGACTTCGAGGCGGCAGCTGATTCACCACCAGGACCGGGGGCCTTCCCCCCGCGGCTCGAAGGCGACGGTGAGGCGGGGTGATGGATGACCGAATCGGAGAAGAAGCCGGCCGGCGAGGCGGGGCCCCCCTCCTTCAGGCGGCCGGCCGCGGTGGCCGACACCGGCGGCGACAGGGGCGAGTAGAAGGAGTCCGATTCCGGGGAGAAGCTGCCATCAGCCCCGGCCAGAGAAAGGCGCGAACGTTTGGGCGACCGGGGCCCGACGCCGGCAGCGACAATGGCCGCGGCCGAAGCGGCGGCAGGCGAGAAACATGGCAAGGCAGAAGGCGGCCCGGGGGAAGAGGCAGACCCGGCTTCGGAGCCGGGCCCCTCGGTCCCAGGTGGCTCGTCATGAGGGGCCTTGCGCTTGGGCGAGGAGGTGTTGCTGCTTGGCTCGTGGGGGGGCGCCGGTGCCACGGCCAGGTCGCGCCCACTGTCATTGAGCCCTGGCGAAGTGACCGGAGGAACGGCCACATTGCCGCCAGGAACAGCGACAGTGGCCGTGGTGGCGAGTGGAGAATCCCCCACCACAGCGGTGGCAGGATCCTCGGTGACAGTGGCAGCACTGTCGGCAACGGCTGTGAGGGTGGTGGGGGAGGGAAGAGCAGGGCTCGCGGCCGTGACGGCCGCAGTGGCCACCACCCCCGCCAGCTTGGGCACACTCTCCGGGGCGCGGTCGTCGGGCGGTGGCCGCTGCAGGGCCGAAGCGCGCGACTTCGGGGGGCTAAAAGACATGCTCAGTCCACCGGTGGGCGGCTTGGCTGACACCAGTGGGCTTTCTGACGGCTGCTTCGGCTCAGGCGGGCAAGGCGGCTGTGACTCCGGCAGGGGGCCAGCCGGGGCGCTGCTGCTGAGGCTGCTGCGGTCGCTGGCACTGCCGGTGGTGCTGGCGGTGCTGACAGCCGACTCTGTGGAGGAGACCGCGAGCAAAGTGGCAGCTGTCGCGTCACCCGGCGGCATGCTCGACTTGGCAATCGGGAGGTCGGATTCGGGCACGGCCGGCTCCGGCGAGGAAGACTTGGATGCCATGGGGCCCGGCCGCGGCAGGCCAATGCTATCACGCGAGGGGCGCTGGTCAAAGACCACATCAAACAGGCAAGGGACATCCTTGGCCGCGCGGGCAATCCGTGTCCCGGCACTTTCGTCGGCCAGCGATGATGAAGCACCACGCAGCCGGGAGACGGCCGGGGTGAGCGGCGCCAGGGTGGTCAGAATATCAGGGACCGGGGCCGAGGTGGACGATTGGCCGGGCGCGGCTGGTGGCGGTGGCTGGACCGACACACTTGCAGCTGGCAGCTGGGCAGGAGCTGCCGCCATGGCCGGCACAATGGGCTCAGCGGCCGCGGCCGGGGCCACAGGCGCCTCGGCCGCGGCTGCCGATGCAGCGGGCTCGGGAGGTGCGGCGAGTTTGCCGGTGACCGAGCCCTGTGACGAGGCAAGCGAGGAGCCCAGGGAAGTCGCTGACGGGCCGCGGCATGGCACCGGCAAAGACGTGGACAGATCATCCACCGACAGCCCTGGAGAGGGGTCGCGCTGACGGGCACCGGGCTCGCCGCCGGCCAACGGGCCGGATGCCCCGGCACCGACCAGGGAGAACCTGGCCAGTAGCGGCTCCTCGGGGCCAAGGCTACTGTCAAGTGCGGAGGAGACCAGCGACGCGGTGGTGCTGGGCGGCGCCGGGGGGATGGGCGGCCGGCTGGCGGAGGCGCCAGGGGCATTGCCGGCCGGAGGGCCGCCAGCCAGTGAGGCGAAGGAATTCGGATGATCGGGCTTGGTTCCCACCTCGTCGAAGATGCGCGGCCGTGGGGCCATCACGCCAAGGCCACCCGGGCGCCGATCGCTCGCCAATGTTGGCTCGGGCACGGCGACGCTCGCGCGATTATGGGGAATAGTCAGCTGCGGCCCGGCCGGGCCGCCATGGCGCCCGGGAATCGGCGGCAGGGAAGCCGCTTCCGGGTCGACGGCCAGTCGAGCCGGGGCAAGACTGATGCCAAACTGCACGCCGGCTGTGGCCGCGCCACCGGAAGAACCACCGGCAGACCCACCGGCACCGCGTGAACCCATGGTGGGGGCGGCATTTCGCGGCGCAGTGGAGGCCGCTCCGCCAGCACCGGAGGCCGCATTGCGAGATCCCGAGGTGAAAGAACGCGACAGAGGCCGACGAGAGCCATGCTGCGGGGGCACCCCAGTGCCCGGTGTCGGACCGCTGGCCGGCATCGATGAAGACAGTCCCGAGCCCGAGGGAGGCCGGCCGCCGGTGGCGGCCGGACGACCGGCCGTCGGGCCCGTGCTCGAGGAGAGGGACGCCGACCGTTGACGGTTGACTGTGGCCGGGCCGGTAGTGACTGTGGTGCTCGATGTGGGGCCCGAGCTGGAGGAGAGGGACGCCAAGCGCTGGCGGCCAGCGGCTGCCGGGGCCCCGGTCGAAGAGGAAGACACACGTCCGCCTGCGGCAGAGCCTGCGGCGGGAGCTTGGCCGGTGGGTGAGCGCCGAGCGCCGGTGCCGCCAGCCCCACCGGGGGCCAGAACGCTCGGTCGACCACGAGCACCAGGGCGCCCGGCCGCCGCGGCGCCCTTGGCTGTTGACGCGCCAGCCTCCGCAGCCAGGACATCAGCATACCGCTTGCCGTCCACCAAAAAAGACTGCCCACGGTCAGCCTCCCAGCGCTCGATCTCAGCCAGGAGGAAGCGCCGGAGCTCCGGCTTGCGCCGGGCCAGGCGCGTGCGCGTGCGCTCCTCTTCCAGAAGATTGACGCGCGGTCCACCGCGACGGGTAAGGCGCTGAGGGTCCTGGGTCTTTTCCTATGGGTGTGAAGAGACCCGGGAGGAGGGGACATAGAGAGAGGGGAGGATGGAAAGAAGGGAGGCAGGGAAGGGGGGGGGGGGGTGCGTCAGCAACTGGTGACACCTTGCCGGCCATCCAAAGGGCGAGAAGCGACCGGTATGACGCACCAAAAACAGGCGCTCCTCCTCCAACAGGGCCATATATTCGTTCTTGGCATTGATCAGACTGGCCATCTGCTGGTGCTGCACGCGGACATTCTCCACCATATCCTCATGTGCAGTGAGCACATCCTCGGAGATGGTGTCCGCGAAGGCCGGCGGGAAGAGCGTCCGACGCTCGTCCTCCGGAATGTGCATTTCGTCCCACAGCGAGGCCAGCTCCTGGCGGGCCAACTCCACGAAGGCCGGCAGTCGCTGCAGGCGAATGGCGCGCAGGCGCTCAAGCTCGCGCTCACACTGACGCCATATGCCAGAGTACATGGCTGGGGTTAGTGGGGGGGAGGGGCGGAGGGCCGACACCGGTACCAGGCAAGACGAGGGAAGGGCGCGAGGAAAGAAGGGCACAGCCGGGCACGAACAATGGCAATCGAAGAGGGAGAGAGGTCGCCGGCCGAGGAGAGGATACCCTCGCGCTCCGGGTCGGCCACGTCCAGGGCGTCCCACAGACGACCGATGCCACGCAGGAGGGTGGTCTTCTGCTCGCGCAGACGGTCCCGCTCGAGGGTCAAGCGCTCGTGGGTCTGGTCCAGGTGGGCAATCAACTTCTCGGAGGGCAGCCCATTGGCCGGGCTGCCGGGCTGCAGCAGCAGCCAGTCGAAGGATCCGGCATCCGGCTGGACACCGAGCTCGGTCCACAGAGCAGCCACTTGGCCAAGAACCTCTTGGATCCGCTGGCTAGAGGCCGCGCGGCGTCCATTCAGTCGGGCCACCTCAGCCTCGAATTCGGCAACCAGACGCAAGCTGGAATCCCCGGGGCCACTGGCAGGGGGTGAAGTGGCCGCCAGTACCCGAGCGGTATACGCCTCAATGCTGTCCGCCTGGCTGAGAATGTTGCTGACGGCGGCCACGGGCATGTCGATTTGCGCGGCCAGGTGAACGGCCTCCTGGAAGAGGGCGGTGATGCGGGCCTGGCGCTCGGCAACGCGCTGTGCAATTCGGGCGGCGGGAGGAGGCGGGGTGAGATTGGCGGTAGAGGAGACCGAGAGACGGGGAAACGGAGGGAAGGGGAAAGGGGGGGGGGTCCTGCGAACGCACAGCACTGAGCTTGTTGAGCTTTTCCTGAAGGAAGGACAGGCGCCGCTCGATGTTGCCGATGGCGCCGTCGCTGTAGGATGTGCCAGCCGGGTCCTGAGAAGGCGAGTCCCCCAGGCGGGCAAGCTGCTCGGCGATGGCACTTTGGCAGTGAGCAATCTCATTGAGCATGGCATCGCGCAGGGAAATCCGATCTTGGAGGAAGGCCTTGCACGAATCGGCCAGATGCGAATGCAGGGCCTGGACAATGGAGCAGGCGGGCGGGCGGGGGGGGGGGTCAGCAAGACAGGACACTCAAACACATGGGACCCGTGGGGACCCGTGGGGAGCCGGGGAGGCCGCACCAGGCAGTCGGTCTGGAGGCCGGAGGCGCTCGAGCCAATTTCACTGTGGATGCAGGCCACCTCCTGCAAGGTTGCCAGGACATGCTCAGACAATGAGTGCATGATGCTGTCACACTCGGCCTGCATGTCGGGCGACAGAGACAAGGCGGTGGCCGCCTCGCCGGGGCCGCCATCCGCTGTTAGGGAAAATCGACCAAGCCCGGAGGCTGGCGAGGCCAAGGGCGAGGCCACTGGCGAGGCCAAACCCATGGGAGCCAGTGACCCGGCGCGACTGGCCGGGAGCGATGCCGGATGCGGGTGCAGAGCCGCACCACCGGATCCCGGGGCATACCCGCCGCCAATCGGGCCAGGAGACATGCTGGCGGTGGCGGCCGCGGCGGCCGCGGCAGCCGCAGCAGCGGCCGTGCGCCCGAAGGACATGTCTTCCTGGGCACCTGCGAAGTGGCCAGCCTGGATATTGAGTCCCGGGAGGGGGCCTCGACCGGGGAGATGCTGCCCGGCTGCAGGAGCCGCACCCAGCGAGAAGGCGGTCGGGCGCGAGTTGGCAAATGTGTCCAGGCCAAAGGCACCGGTGGGGTTGCTGAATGGCATGCCCTCGCTGGGGCCGCTGGGCAGAACCCCGGCGCCTGGGCCGCTGAAGCCGCTGGTCGGCATGGAGTACCGAAGCATGCCGACCGTGGCGGTGGCCGCGGTGGCGATGGTCATCGGGGGGTGGCCGCCGCCCGGGAAGGTGGCTGTGGTGCCCTGCTGCGAGGCGCTCAGTCGGCCAATGTCAGCAATGCTGCTCATTGCCGAAGATAGCCTGTCACCAGCCAGGTGGGGGCGAGGCTGCATGTTGATGGGACTCGAGGGGGGTGTGAATGTATGGGTGGGTGGGTGGGGGGGGGGGGGACTCCCGGGCAGCAGCAAGCCGGCTGAGAGTCGGCGGCCGTGCGGGGCTACGTTGGGCGACGGGCGAGGAGTTCGCTCGGTAGGCAATGAGAGGGGGAGAGGCGGGGGAGGATACGCGGAAGGATGGATTGGAAACGGGGGCGATGGCACGAGCGGGGGGGGGAGGGGGAGAAGGGAGGGAGGATACTTCCTGACGGTTTGCCTCCCCGGGTCCGCAGAGGGCCAGGAAAAAAATCCGCCCTCGATCGCGCCCTCCTCCCCGGGAGGGGGGCACCATAGCCTTGACCGAGCTGCTTCCGGTCACAGTCGAGGAATGCCCACGGGAGAGGCACCAACGGCCGATCGGACGGTTTTCTCCCCGTCCCCCCCTGCGGCGTGGTCCGCTTTTCGCCCGTGCCCAGGCAGGCCCGGCCGATCTTGGGCCCTGCGCATGCTTTGGGCGGCCGTTTTGGCCGATTGCGTCCGACGGTGGGACAAACCGCCATCGCCCCCCCCCCCCCCCTCGACTACCCCTTTTGCGGCCGACCACACGGAAAGAGCCGCAGGGACAAGGCACAAAGAGGGGGCACTCTCCCACGCCCCCCCAGGCGAATCGGCTCTGATCAGATCGTCTGCAGGGCCTCCGGATCCATGGGCGGGCAGGGGACGACGCCTCGACGAGGGGCGCGCCCTGGCGGCGTATCTCCCGGCGCACCTCCGCTCTGTCCGGCTTCCCCAGCAGCGCACGACTAGAGCCCCCGGCCGTCGCCCAGTTCGGCCCCCCCCCCGCCGCGGGCTGGAGAGCGTTGGACGGAGGAATTCAAAAGTAACGACTTGAATAATGGCATTCTTCTTCTGCTGAAGGAGTGGCAGTAGACGAGTGCCGATCCAACTGTCGCGCTCGATCCGCCTGCTGCCGCCGGACTGCGCCCTCTAGCCGGCAAGAAGCCGCGCGAGACGGGCTCCGGGCACATCCTGCCGCTGCCTGACGCTGTGCGAAAGGGGGACCCGGCGCCCGGAACCCGGGGGGGGGGGGACTTCTCCGCACGCGGAGGGTGCGCTGTGCACGCGCGCATCTGGTCGGCATGCCGAGGCAGTCCTGTCCCACGCCCGGGGAGGGGCAGGTCGCAATATCACTGCCACTGTGCTGTCGCTCCTTCGCTTGGGGCACCCCCCTCCCCGGGCCGTCTCTAGCGCGTGGCGCACATCCGCCGGCGGGTGCGAGCCCCCACAAAGGCCCGCAAGGAGTTCCCCCTGCCCCGTGTCGGAGCCAGCGCATCGCTGGAGAAGTCTCCCACCCCGGAGAAGGGGAGGGCCCGCTGCATGCTTTGCCGACTGGGCGCCGGGATGGTGCCCTCTCCCCCCCTCCCCCCCCGGAGGCCGCCAACCGTCTGTTCCCGCAGGAGGCGCGGAGAAGGGTCCCCCTCCCCGGCCTCCTCCCGCGGCTTCCCCCCCCCCCTCCCGCCCCAGCGCATCGGAAAGAACACACCACACCAGAGAGAAAGGGCACGGCGGGAACAACGAACAAGAAAGGGGGAGGATGTTGTGTGGTAGGCACATTATAGTTGAAAGGGGGCGAGAAGAGAGAGTACTAATGAATGGAGTGGGCGGCTACACGTGACGAAGGGCACACACTGAGAGAGGGAGGGGAGAGGAGGAGAGAGGGATGGGGGAGAGGGGGAACACAACGAGAAGGAGAGAAACACGCGGGCACGCGCGCGCACAGCGGGAGACACACACACACAGACACCGGAGGGGGGGGGAGAGAGAGAATGTGTGTATGTGTGGCGATGGTGGCGCACACAGGGGAGAAGCCCCATCACCGCGCGGCCTGGGAAAGGGCCGCATCGCGCATGCACGCGCGCGCCTTTGGGGGCGGCACACCTAATACACGCTGTGTCGACGACACCCCCAAACATCACAGCGACGCCCTGGACACCCCCCCGCAGGCGCACTCGCCATCACGGGGAAGCCACAGAGCCGGACACCCGGAGAGGGGAGGAGAGGATCCCTGGCGCGCATGTGCGCACGCCAGGGGGGGAGCTCCCCCCCGCCACCTCACCGGCCAACCGGCACGCACAAAGCAACCCTCGCGCGCGCCGCCGCCGCTGACATCGCCCATTTAGATGTTGTCAGAGGGGACGGGCTCGACGAAGCCAGAGGAGACGGGGGCACCGGTGTCGTCGGCGAGGTTGTCGGCGTGGAGCTCCATAAGCTTGGAAGCGTCGAACTTGGGCTTGCGGAGGACCTTGACCTTGCGGAGGAAGACGTTGTGCAGGGGGTAGATGACCTTGCACTCCTTCTCGATGGTCTTGCCGATGGACTCGGCAATGAGCTTGGCAACGAGCTCCTTGAGGTCGACGGTGGAGACCTCCTTGTTGAGGATCTCGAACATCTTCTTGCGGATGGCAAGGATCTGGGAGGTCTGAGCGTAGGTGGTCTTCTTGACCTGGTTGGAGCGGCGCTGGGTGAAGCCGATGACGAAGACACGGAGGTGGTAGCCGTCGGTGGTGCGGACATCGACGTGGGCCTCGATCAGGGAGTGCCACTTGCGGACAAGAGAACGGAGCTTGTCGGTGGTGAGGTCCATACCGTGGAAGTTGGTCAGGCAGTTGCGGCCCTGGACGTCCTCAAGGCTGAGCTTGATCTTGCGGAAAGAGTGCTCAACATCGGAGGTGAGGTCGGCGAGGGAGACCTCGACGACGCGGCCCTTGAGACCATCGGAGGCGAGCTCTGTTGTCGAGGGGAGAGGGGGAAGGCGGCGCGAACGAGGGAGAGACGGCGGAAGGTGAGCACACGCGACGACGGCGGGCGGGGACACGCCGAGGAACAGGCCGATGCGCGAGAGGGTGGCACAGGGGCTCGCGCACAGGCGCGCGCGCGCGCGCCCGGTCCCCGATCCCCCTCCCTCGGCGCATGCACACCTGAGGCGGAGACGCGGAATGGCACAGAGGGGAGGCACAGAAAAAGGGAGAGGTCACGTACTGGTACCGGCGGTACGGTTGACCAGAGTCTTGCCGATCTCGCGGTTGGAGAAGGTGGAGGGAGCCTTCAGGTCATACCAGTCCTTGCGGGAGAAGGGGTCGACAACGCGCTTGCCACCACGGCCCTTCTTGCCCTTGGAGAGACGCTTGTTCTTACCGACAGCCTGAGCGAAAGCGCGAACGAGAGGGAGGAAAGGGGCGTCAGTAACGGCAGGGCGCATCGGATGCAGATCCTCGAATGTGCATCCGACAAGGAGGGGAGACAGAAGGACAACAGCCCTGGCCGGGCCCGAGAGTGAGAGGCCTCGAGAGACGACAGAGAGAGAGAGAGAGGGGCAGAAGGAGGGGTGATCTGTAACCGGACGAGAGGCCAATCCCTCACACGCCCGGGTGTACAGCACCTCGCCCCGGGTGAGTGCACGCCGTAACTAGCACGCGCTCCTCCGACGCAGCGCCGCGCGCGCACACATACACACACGGAGGCGGCGACATGCGAGGAGGAGCGATTAGCCAAAGTGTGGAAATGCGCGAGTGTGCACACACACACACACTCAAACAGACTGACGGCGTGGGGACAGGGGCCATGCACAGCACGGCGGCTGTCCGTCTGTCGGGGCCTTCCTCACCTCGCATCCTCTCTCGCTCGCAAGGAGCCCGGTCAACAAGGAGGCGAGGGGCTCCTGGATCCACGAAGGAAAAGGAGGGCGTGGACGTTGTCTCGAGGAGATGTGCGTGTGCACGCAGCATGCTCACAGGTCTCTCTCGCTGCCCTACTACTCGGGGGTACTCTCAGCGGCAATCGCTCCTCAGGGGGGGGGGGGCCAGACGCGGCAGGGTGTGTGTGGGGGGGAAGAGGGCAAAGAGCTTTGGTTGAACAGGAACAGGGACAGGGGGAGGCGAGGGAGGAGAGGGGGGGGCGCGGGAGAAATCGAACCATATTTGCTCGTTGACAGTGTAAATCAAAGAAAAGAAAACACAATCAAGAGGGTGAGGTCTTACCCTCACGAGGTGGGAAGCTGCCTGGTCGCCCTTCAGACAGGCCTCCCCTCGGGCCGTCCGCCGCCCACACGCAGGGCTGGGCCCCCCCCCCCCCGCCCCCCGGCTGGCAACAGGCCCCCAGAGTGTGGGAGACCGGAGCACGCGGGGCTACACACTGTCGTCTGGGTCCCACACCCCGTCTCCAACCCGCCCCCCCCCCCCCCCCGCGACGGGGTGGAAGGCGGGGCGGGGGGCGGGGGGGCGGTGCACACAAGCATCGTTACCTGCCCCCCGGCCTGGGGAGGACGAGGGGGCCGAGGCGGCGCCCGCGCCCACACGCACACACGCACACACGCACACACACACACACACACACACGCACACAGGCGCCGCGTCCCCTCGCACACATGGGGCGCATTCGCGCACGCCGTGCCGGGGGAAACCCGGACCACCCAACTCCGGGGTGGGGGGCAAGGGGGTGCGCACGGGAAAATGAGCCCAACGCCGGCCGGAGTAGCTCGGTCGCAGAGAGCCGCACCACCGTCCATCCTTCCTCCCCTCCCGGGGCGGGTGAGAAAAGGCCAGCTCCACATCCCCGCCACACGAGTAGAACATGGGCGATGCAGGGGGGGGGGCGGTACACCGGCAGCCGCCTGTTGCGCGTGGGGGCTCCTCCCGGCCACCCGGTTGCCTGTTCGCGGGCAGAACACAGCACCATGTCACATGCTCCCCTCCTCACCGCCCAGGCTCGGCAGACATCCCTTCTTGGGTGCCGACAAGCGGGCCCGAGAGAACCCCAGATGTCCCCCTTCTCCCCGCTGCCAGAGCCCGAGTCAGGCATGCACACACGCGGCTGAACCAGCCTCCCTGAACGAGGTCGATTGGGAAGACACCTTGTCCGACTCCACCCGCCAGCCACCCCCCTCCGGCGGATAACTAACACGGCCTTGTTTCCGTGGTGGCAACAATCAACGTGCGAGCGAGCAAGCACACAGGCGCCACTTCTCAGGTCGCATGCGGGGGGGGGGGGGGTCGAGCGGGTCCACGGAAAAGGGGGCGTTCATGCCCGTCTTTTTCGAACATCCAAAATTGATGCAATGATATTTGTGTAAAGATAGACACGGAAATCCCAAGTCACACCCCAGTCACATGCGCAATGGTGGGTCAGCCGCTCGGCCCTTGTGAAAGTGGTCCTTCTCCCTGTCTCCGTGCCGTTTGTCCAAACATCCAACCCGAGCCCGATATGGTTAATCCCCCTCGGATCACATCTTCCTGGGGAGCGGGGAGCGGGGAGCAGGGCGCGAGGAGCGGGGGGGAGGGGGGGGGACAGGCATATGGGAACCGTCGCAGGTGGAGTATCAGCTCGGCCGGCCACAAAATGGTCCTGGAATGGGCCCGGCGCCGCCCTCCGGTGTATCCCTCTTTCCCGGGGACTCGGGGCCGGACCTTGGCTGGATTGTTTAGGCCGGCCAGTGGGGCTGCGTCACAGACGGGCATCTTGCCTCGGAGTGAGGGAATCCTCCTCGCCCGGCTCTGTGTGTGTGGCATGCCGTCCTGATGCACGCGCGATTCCCATGATGGTTTTGGGTGCAAGCATCTGAGCCCTTGAAAAGCCCGGCGATAACCCGCCCCGGTTGAGCCACCGCGATCTACCTTGATTTTGCTCCGCTGCTCCCCTCCCCCCTCTCCGCCTCCCCCCTCTCGCGTATCTGGCCACTCTCTTGCATTTGCCATGGCTCCCCCGTCGATTCTCAACGCCTGGAAGTCGCTCTCGCGCTTCCCGCCGTTTATGCGCACCCTGGCCTTCCGCTACATGGTCTCCTCGATCGCCCCCTACTCCGGTGCGATCCCCTGTCGCCGTGTTCCCATGCGGCATTGTCACCCTGACCGGCCTCCTCCCCTCTGACATCCCCTCAATGCTCAGGCACCATTTTCCCCAATGTCCAGCACCTGGACACCCACAAGTGCCTGGTCTCCATCAAGGAGCGCCGGATTCTCAAGAACCCCTTTAACAGCATCCACGCCGTGGCCCTGACCAACCTTGGTGAGCTGGCGTCCGGCGTCATGGTCATGTCGGCTCTGCAGGAGAACGGCCTCCGGGGCATTGTCACCAAGCTGGACACCGAGTACCACAAGAAGGCCAAGGGTACGCACCTTTGCGGATCTTTCCCGCTCAGCCTCCTGCCGGGTTGAGAGGGACCTTCTGCTGATGCTCCCCCCCCCCCCCCCCCACACCTCGCTCTCTTCTTCTCCCTGTGTCTCGGACACCTCCAGGTGTCGTGACGGCTGAGGCCCTTTCTCCCCCCTATGACATTTCCGGAAACCCCATCACCCCGAAGGCCCTGGCCGCCGGCGCCCCCCCCGCCGGCACCGATGCCGGCAGCACCGAGGCGGCCCCCCAGGCTTCTGGGCCCTCCTCCGCCAGCAGCGAGACCCCCTTTCCGGTGAAGGAGCTCCTCCTGCCCGGCGAGTCCGAGAAGCAGGTTCAGTTCAAGACCACCATCCGCGACGAGGCTGGCGATGTGGTGGCCATCACCACTGCCCGCTGGATTGTCCGCGCTCTTCCCCAGGGCCAGTCTAAGAACTGAGCGCCTGCCCCTTGCTTGACCCCCACCCGCCCTCGCTTGTGGGTGTATCAGAATAGTGACATCCACCTGCTTTTATCAATTTGGCACCCACTTCCTTCGTGCTCTCTCTCTCTCTCTCTCTCTCTCTCTCTCTCTCTCTCTCTCCCCCGCACACATACCCGCCCCAGATCTGGCTCCCTCCCTGTGTGAAGGAAGTTGATTTTAGTTTTACAGGAGAGTGGAGGGGGCACACGGCAAGTTCGATCCCTCCCACGGGCACACCGCCCTCATTTACACAGGAGAGGGGGAGAGGGGGAAAGAGGAGGACCAGCCCAAAAGGCACGGAGGGAGGGAGGGAGGGATGGGTGTATACTCTTCGGGCGTGGGGCTTGTCGCTGATCGCTGATAGGCCCTTTTCTTCTGGCGCAGACTACTGGCCGACTGGGCCCACACACGCGCGTACGCGCATGTATATACACAGATATATATATATATATATACACGCGCACACCGCAGGGCTGCCACACATGTGAAGCACATGTCGGATACTCACACAGACAATGGACAGACGCCCACCGGAGAGGAGGGCAAGGAGGGATCTTCTTGCATTCCTTAGCAAGCACAACCACCAGACGCCTGCCCGCTGGCGGGCTTGTCGTCAATGACAACCGTCTCATTGCCCGGAGCAATGGAGCCCTTGCCAGAGGCACCAATGCCATCGGGGTCCTGGGCGGCGGCAGTCCGCTCGCGGTTAGAAACAACGGCGTAGATTTCTATCGGCCACCGGGGGAGGGGGGGCGGCGAGCGCAGGGAGGATCACGCGTGGGGGTCAGTAATCGCGAGTGCCTTGGGCCGACGCAAAAGCCGGCAGAGTGCATGTATCTTCCCGTCGTGAGGTGGGCAAGCTGCTGCACATGCGGAGGACAGGGGGAAAATCGGCAAGTCAAGGGAGGCAGCTCGAGACACACCTCCGAGAATGCTCTTGAAGGCGTTCTCAACGTTGCTGGAGTCGAGGGCAGAGGTTTCCATGAACATCAGGCCATGCTCGGAGGCGAAGGTGCGGGCCTCCTCGGTGGGGACAGCGCGCAGGTGGCGGAGATCGCTCTTGTTACCGATCAGCGAGACAACAATGTCCGGGTCGGCATGGTCGCGAAGCTCACGCAGCCAGCGGGCAGCCGCCTCGAAAGAGGAGCGGCGAGCCAGGTCATAGACGAGGAGGGCACCGACGGCACCGCGGTAGTAGCTGGGGTTTTCCCCCCACAGCAGCAGCAGGGCACATGTGTTAGGGGGGGGGGGACGGGGCATTTGATGGAGCTGCTACCACTATTGAGAGGAGAGTGCTGCGCGGAAGGAAAAGGGGAAACTGGGTACGCACGCGCTGGTGATGGCACGGTAGCGCTCCTGGCCGGCTGTGCGCACATGCCAGGGAGAGGAGGGGGCGAAGTTAGGCTGAGGTGCCACAGAATGTACGAGGGGGAAGTGTGCCAAGGGGGGAGGGGATGGGGGGGGGGGGGGGAGATCCTCCAAACGCACCAGTATCCCAGATCTGGGCCTTGATGATCTGGCCCTGAACCTCAACGTTGCGGGTGTTGAACTCGACACCGATGGTGGCCTTGGAGTCCATGTTAAACTCGTTGGTAGAAAAGCGCGACAGGAGGTTGGACTTGCCGACTCCGGAATCGCCAATCAGGACAACTGCGAGGCGTGGGCACGATTGCGGGTGAGTCAAGAGGCGTGCGTCGGGGGAGAGGGGCGGGGAGGGG